ATAATTTTCTTAAGTTTTTCTCGATTCATATAAATATTTACAAGCAATTGTCTTCAACAATTCAAGATACATTAGAGAAATGATCATCATAAAGAAAATTAATGTGACTTTGGGTTCTAGTAATAGGGTAATTAAAAACAAATAACAAATACAGCACCAGGAGTGCAAGTTTCCGTGTATTGCTTGTGCTCCAACTTTTCCACTGCCCAAGGCTTTTAAGGAAAACCTGTAAACAATGGTCAATGATTTTATCGTCCCTTGGTGACTCTACGGGAAATCTGAGAGCTCATAATGCTTAATAATTAGTTTCGTTTGTGTTTACTTACTAGTGATAAGTATTTTTACATGTGACAACAATCAATAATATAACTAGGGTTTCTGTTCTCTGGTGTTTAGTTTTAGCTATTTATAGTTTATTTAAATATCTTAAAATAGGTAATTCTCGGGGTTTTCATTTTTAGTTGTATATAGATACTATTACGTCTCCGTTTGTTAATTGATTGTCCGTAACTTCGTTCTGACGAAACTTTACCGACACAAGTCCTTACTTAATAAAACTGGTTTATTCTTTCCGAATACAACTTTACGATACACTCAACTTCACAGTTGCGCTAAAACAAACGCTATAACGAACGTTAACTTCAACAATACGTCTCTCTTTGACTGCAGTTCAATTACTCATTACCTACACACACTACCCCGTCACGTTGTGAGCGTCTTATCTATATACCAGACTAACATATATCTAGTAAATGTTAGGGCATTAACGAAGGAACAGGATATTTCTAGAAAATAGGTGGCGTGACACTAGTCACGTGACCTCGCTGACGCAACACTGCCCCCTCCTTAGTATTGTTCGTCCCGAACAATAGCCACATACAATAAACCAATAACAATTAACAATAACTTAATTAAATGTACAGAATTGCAATCACAAAATTACAATTCAACAAAGTCTCTTAATTTTACGGGACGTATCTTCTTCCGTACTGGTCTCCGTCTCTGTCTCGTTGGCTTCTGCTTCATGAGGGGTTCATCTGCTTCATCAA